AGTTCCTGCGGAAGCGTAACCACCTGCGCAGGACCATGTCCGTGCAGCAGCCCGACCCGCCCGCCAACCCCAAGCCCGAGCGGGCGCAGAGCCAGCCCGAGTCCGACAAGGACCACGAGCGGCCCCTGGCCGCGCTCAGCTGGGCGCGCGGGCCCCCCAAGTTCGAGTCAGTGCCCTGAGGGCCGGGCTGTGCGCAGAGCAGGGGGGCCCTGCCTGTGGGCCGGGGGGGCTGCTTCTCCCCGAGACAGGCCTTTTCCTGCTTTTTCCCTCCCGTGTCTGTCCAGCAGTGTCCGACCAGAGCGGGGAGGGACCCAGCCGCGCCCCGGGGGGAGAGCCCAGGGTCTGTGTGCAGCCGTGGCTGCCTCCCCGTGTGGGGCCCGTGACCGCAAGCCCGGGTCCGCGCCGGTGCGTGTGCAACGCCGGGGAGCGGGCCTGCCCGGAGCGGGAGGGTTGGGTGGAGTCGACCATCCTTCTGGGGCCCCGAGGCTTGGGAGGTGCTGGGCAGGCCCGGAGGGGAGGAGCCCCCAGACCGGGCACCAGCGGCCCCGGCGGGCACAGCTCCGGCCGGAGGGGCGAGCGGCATTTGCACCGCCCTCCCTGTGGCATCCCGGGTCACCGTCTTGGGCCTCCTGGCTTTCCTGGGGCCAAGTGGCCACCTTCTGGGAGTGAGAGGCTATCCCCTGGGTCCTCCTGTGTTCGCAGTGTCTGTCCACGACCCTGGGGGGGCAGGGTCTGGTGCTGACGGTCTGTCCTCCTGCAGCTGTCCATTGTCCCCGTCTTGTCCTCGGTACTGTCACCATTCTCCCGTGGCCCGTGAGGACAGTCGTTCCTCTTCCCAGGGTCCTGCCTGGCGCCCTCCCCCGTGAGGCTGCAGCCTCAGGCTCTGGCCCAGCTGGGCTGCCTGTGAGCCCACTGCTCGCCCTCTCTGGGCCCTGCCTTCCTTATGGGATTGGACGGGTCTCCCCGCTGAGATTGGTGCGGGTTTCTGACTCCTGGGCTGTCTTGCACTAGGAACCTCTCAGAGAGCCCAGTGTGCACCTTGCACGCAGTCTGAGAGGGGGCTCTGGGGGCCCCTCGCGGGCACCGAGTACCCCACCAGTTCACAGGAAGCCCTTGCGGGGAGGGAGGGGGATGGGAAGGTGGGAAGGGGTTCCTGCTCCACGGGGCAGTTTGCTTTGCACTGATGTCCGAACCAGGTGTCCCAGGAACAGGGACATTGCCCCAGAGGGCACTGATCTGACTCGCCCTCCCCAGCTCTGCTCACACTGATTCTCCCTCTTGGCTCCTGGAAGGCACAGAGTTGACATCCCGGCATTCTGGGGGTTCATGTGATTTTTGGCTCAAACTGTTGTATTCTCTTCCCTTCTGCCTGCCACCCCGCTGGGTTTGGTGCCCTTACCCTCCTACTGGCTCGTCCCCTGAGGTTAGCAGGGCTTGGCTCCCGGGGTGGGGGGGGCCCCTCAGAGCCTGCCCAAGCCATCCTGCTGCGAGCCCCTGGCCGGGGGGCCTGGATCCCTGCACCCCGCTGCTGTCCGGCTGGGCCCATTCCCATCCCTGGGGGCTGTCGCGGCCTGCTTCTGGGCCCCCTCTGGCCGTCCCCAAGGCTAGCTCAGCTCCTCCAAGCAGGGCTGCGTCAGGCCGGGCTGCCCCAGAGCCCAGACCTCTGCATCCACAACACGCACCCGCGTGGGCCCTGTGTCGCTTCCGCTCGGCGTCTACCTCTCGCAGCTCCTGCGTGGCCCGCGTTCTCCCCGGACAGCGACCGCCCTGTGAATTGCCTGGCAAAGTGGGCACCCTGCTGGGGCCGGGGTGGGGGGGTCCAGGCTCCCAGCCCCCAGGCCGCGCTCTCTGGGACGCGAGTCTTCTCTGGCACGGCCGGCTGGCCTGCTCCACCTGCAGGGCTGTCGGCACCCGAGCCCAAGCCGCGGGCAGCTCCCTCTCTGGCCCTGCCTCCCAGCGGTTCCCGGTTCTCACGGGCCGCCCCTCCTTCCACATTCTCTCTGCGGGGCGCTCTGTGAGGCCCCAGCGCTTAGGGCATAGCCGCATCCACCCTTTCCAGAATATGCCCTGGACGGAGCGTGGGCAGACGGCCTGCCTCTCTGATGCTGCCTCCTGTCCCTTTATGCGGAAGCTGTTGATGTAGGTGATAAAGTCCTTAGTGGAAGTTCCTTCTTCCCGAGTTGGGCTTCCTCTGCCCTGCGAACCCCAGGCCGGAAGCCTGAGAGAGACAGAGACAGAGCGCCAGGACCCTGCAGGGGAACCTGCGTCCCGTGAGCAGGGCTCCAGGGCCTGGGCTCGAGCTGGGCTGGGGCACCTGGCCGGAGGCCACCCCCTTGGTGTCTGGAGCTCGGAGGACCCACGCCCGCGATGCTGAAGGTGTACAGCGGGACGCAGTGAGCGGGAGCTCCAGCTGGGGCTCGTGCGGGGTGGGGTTCTGCAGCGGGAGGCTGCTCGGTTCTCCCGGAGACTCTAACCAACACACGTTCCTGTACCAGTGGCTTTTTCTGTTGTGTCCGTCCACTCCGGGCCGAGAAAAACAAAGCACCCAGTGGTGCTGTTCTCTGGAGGGGGCTTGCCCCTCCCCGGAGCAGTTCCTTGACCTGGTCTGGCTGTTTTCTAGAGAATCCTTCCAGTTCCCGGTGTGCCCGCTCCCTGGGGGCTGGGAACCCCTCTTCCTGCCCGACCAAAGCTCCTCGTCTCTCGCGTGGCATGTTTGTTCTTCCCGATCCGGGGCTGTCCTTGCTGGAGCGCTGCCTGCCACCCTCGTCCACACTCACCCTGTTGGGGGCTCGGGGTGCACCCCTGGCCGGCGCCTGCTCTCCCGGCATCATGGGTTTTCTCTGGAAGATCTCACGACTCCTCCCTTAGGCTCCACAAAACACGTATTTAAAGAGGTTGACTCTTTTCATGTGTTTGGATGGATGGCCCTCCTGTCTGGGTCCCGGGCCGTGGAAGAGCAGGTGTGGACCCCGCATTCCGGAGGTTGCCGGGGCGTGGGCTCCCTGAAAGAGGGGAGGCCGGGTCTCACGGTCTTGAGACGGTCCTTCTACCGCCTTGGAGCCCAGAGTCTGCGCTCCCGACGTGTCCTGCAGGCAAAACGGGGCGCCGGTTTTTGAAAGAAACCCAGTCCCAGCGGGTGGGGAGGTGGCACTGGTTCTGCTCGGACGCCCCCCCTGAGCCTCGGTGCCACCCCGCCCCGGAGGGGCGCCCGGACTGCGGCAGAGCCTCGCAGCTTGCCCCCGCCTTAAATAACCAATTTCCCGCCGAATCCTGGGGGTTTGGGTGCCAAGTGCTCTGGAAGCCTATCCTCTTTGGCTCAGCCAAAAGAAGCCACCCCTCTCTCCTTACCCTCCCTCTGGCTTGGGGACACTTTCTTAAAAATCACAGCTAGGGGGATGTCCCCGAGCAGTAGCGAGGCCCGGCCCGGGTCCTGCCGTTGGGGCCGGGAGGGAATGCGGTGGGACCCCACCCTCACCCGCACGAGGATCGGCAGGTGACACTGAGGGGCAGGACAGGAGGCAGCCCGCTCGAGGGGCCCTCCACCCCGGGACCTCACTGTCCTGTTCTCTGTTTACTCCGCGGCGGCAGCCCGTCTGACCTTGTCCGTGGTCTGGCTGTTCCTAAATGTGTGACTCTCAGTATTACTTGTGGTGGATGGTTCTGTGGTGAAAGAAAGGTTTTCCCTACTCCTCATGGCTGCCTTGTACAAAATCCGTTAGAGGAGAAAATGTAAAATACCAGGTTTCTAACAAGACACACACCGCGTTACGGAGTTAAAAGATTTTTACAACTGGTCTTGATTTTGACGTGAGCTGGTTTTTAACTCTTGGAAGTTGTCACTTAAATAAAAACCTTATTTGCCATTAAGGTGTTCTTGGTTCCAAGTGAAGCTGAGAGACCGTTCTGCTGCTCGTGCTGCCCCCGAGCTGGGGGCCGGCCGCTTGGCCCGGGGAGGACGGAGGAGCAGAGCCGCGCCGCCCTGACGTGTGTGTGTGTGTGTGTGTGTGTGTGTGTGTGTGTCACAGAGAACAGACGTCGCACTCAGAAGCAGAGTCTTTATTATGAAAAAGCAGTGTTATGACGTGTGTGTGTGTGTGTGTGTGTGTGTGTGTGTGTGTGTGTCACAGAGAACAGACGTCGCACTCAGAAGCAGAGTCTTTATTATGAAAAAGCAGTGTTATCTCCAGGGAAGTCACATGCTGGTTTCTTTCTAATAAAATGACAAAGCGGGTTTCTTAAATAATTTACTGAGGGCAGAAACCGCCACTGAGCAGTGCTACCGCTGCCTGCACACCCCGGCGCCCTGTGCTGAGGGCAAGTAGGGGTCTGTGGGCCCAGGGTCTCGGGGCCCTGGGGGGCGCGGGGATGGGAGCTGGGGTCCCTGGGCCGCCCAAGGGCTGATTCCTCGCAGGTCCCCCTGCTGGGTGCACGGCTCAGGGCTCCCCAGAATCTCTGCTGCCCGGGCTTCCTGCTGCAGATGCCGCCGCGGAGCTCGAGTGTGGCATGAGTTTCCAAACCCAGTGAGTCTCAGGCTGGGGCGGGCGGTCAAGGGCAGAACCGGCTGTGGCCGGTTCTGAGCAGAGGCTCCTGAGCGGCCTCCCCCTGGAAGGGGGCCCAAGGGCAGTGCTCGGGAGCTCGGGAGGGACACACGGGCCCTGGTGTGAGGGCGTGGTGGTCAGATGTGGCCCGCTTCCTGCAAATACACAGCTCCCTTCGTGCCCCCCTCTCCGTGCTCAGAGCAGGGACGTAGGGGCCCCACGGTCGTCCCCCCGGAAGCAGGAGCTAGGAGGTGGCCGGTGTGCTCGGCTACTGACAGGGTCGGTGAGGTCAGCAGCTCTCGCTCTAGGAGGGGGGGGGACTCGCACACTTCCTGCCTGCTGGGCCCGTCAGCTCCGGGGGGTTTTCCAGAAAAGACTCCGTTCTTGCACAGGTTTGTGCGTGAGGAGGAGGAGGGCCCAGGGAAGATGCTCGGAGGAAGGCATTACCTGCGGGCACCGTCCTCAGTCTCGGATGAGAGACACGGTCATGTCGCCGCTACAGGTGGGAGGGCGGGAGGGACAGATGCCATTGGTGCCGCGGGCTCGAGGGGCCCTCGTGCCATGTCCCCAGAACTGGCCGCGCCCCACCCAGGAGCCCATCGTGGCCACTGGATGGACGGGGGACTGGCCCCAACCTAGGGCAGCTGCAGACCCGAGGCTTGCCTCCAGGAGGGGGTCCTGAGCACAGACCAGAAACTCCCTACCAGCCACGGAGCTCTTCCCAGTTCCACAGGCGGGCAGGAATCGGGGAGCCATGGGGAAAGTTGGAGGAAGGGCAGGTCTTTCAGGAACCAGGTACCTGGCCTCGGGGGATTCCAGGTGACGGACAAACGTGGCACCAGGGGGGCCCAGAGATGGGCAGGGGCAGGCCAGGGTCACACAGCAGGTCAGACCCAGGGGCAAAGATGGGCCCCAGAAATGCCGGCTCACCTCTCCTCAGCCACGCTGGCCTCGTCTGGCTCCTGGGACAGCTGCTGGAGATGCTGAAGTCCTGCTCCCGCAGGCTCTAGGTCACCGTCAGACTCGCTGAAACAAGGAAAAGCCGCCCCCAAGACTCGCGGAAACCTGTAGCCAACCCACCCCGCCTCAGAGGCACTGGGCCAGGCATGCAGGCCGGGGAGATGCCCGGGGAGCTGGGAACACCTTGTCCCAGACCCTCCCCTCCCCCTAGGAAGTGACATTGGTGCGGCTTGGAGCACAGGGCACAGAACAGAAAGCTCAAGGCCCGGAAGGTCAAGGGCAGGTGACCTTGCAGACAGTTCAGCCCTGCTGTTGCCCCCTTGGAACCCGAGCCTCGGCCTCCGGAGGGCTTCCAGACTTGCTTTGGGCTCACCGAGAGGCTCGCGTCTTTGACAGATAGGGAAACTGAGGCCCTGGAGGACCCCCCCCCCAGGCCCCCCGGCAACTGGGGCAGAGCTGGGCCAGAGCACCGCTGCCGGCAGCTCAGGGTGCCCCTGGCAGCCGCAGGAGGGGGCCCAGCTCGCGTTGGGGGGCCCAGGCATTGCTTCTCTTACCTGGGGGAGCAGAGGGGCTCTGTCGAGGAGTAGGGACTGCGGAGGGCAGCCTCCCTCCTGGGCCGCCGCAGGGGGTAGGCGCGTGGGCCCCCGTGGGCAGGGAGCCGGTGACCGTCCCTCTCCCACGGGTCCAGGGCCACGTAGGCGGGGGCAGCTCCAGACAGCCGGGTGCTCTTCTGTGCCCCCCTCCTCCGCCTCCTGGCTCTCACCTGGGTTTCCACCAGCCACTTGGTGCCACTGTGGCAGGACTCCTGGATTCTCTGTGGCGGGTACAGGGAGAGCTGAGCAGGGACCAAAGCCAAGCGGGCGCTACTCCCGCGTGTCCCGGCTCTACCTCCCACCCCTCGGCCCCCCAGCGGGCCTGCGGACCCTGGCAGCTCTGGGTCCCTGGTCCCGCGGGAGGATGAGTCCGTGGGAACTGGGCCTGCTGCAGCCGGTGGCTCACAACCACCTGGGGAGCGAGTGGGCTGGTCAGAGTCCGCGTTCACCCAAGCCCAAACCCTCTCCCGGGACCCATAAGGACCCTGGCTCTCCCAGCAAGGCCCAGAGCCCAGGCCTGCCCCCCAGGACCTGCTTCTGGTCTCACACACCAGTTCACTGTCCACGCTGGTGCAGAGTCTTCTGCAGGGCCAGCTCTCAGGATGCTCAAGGGCTCGGAAGCCCTCTGGGGCTCCTCACTGCCTACGGGGGCAAGCCTGAGCCCTGGGGTCTCTCGGACCCCCCTGGGCTCCTCTCAGCCAGAACGTCTGCCCCGGCAGAGCCAGAGGCCAGAGGTTAGAATAAGACCCGAGTTCCATGTGGTGCGTGGTGTGGCTGTGGGCGGACCGTCTCATTTCACGTCTCTGAGCCCCCGGGGAATAAGACCGTCCTGGGGCTCCTACAGACGAGACTGACGTTTGGCTCAGAGACCTCTCAGCGGAGGGTCTGTGGATTTCAGATCCCCAATCAGACCCCAAGGAGATACCCACCCCCATTCTCTCCTTGGGGGTCGGTCTGTCCTCATGGCTTCTGTCCCTCCTAGGTGATACCTTCCCTCATTTTTGGGTTTGAAGACCCGTTCACCCGGAAAGCCCACAGGCAACTCACACCAGCACCCCGCACTTGTCACCTGACACGAATCCCTGCAGATCTACATTTGAGCCTCTGCCAGGCCAGGCCCCCAGGCCTCTCGGAGGTGAATCTTCTCACCCTCTACCACTTAGCTGAAGAACAGTACTGATATGCTAATCTGGCCGGATTCCAACCTTGTTGAAAATCCTCCCCTCTGGCTCCCAGCGCTCCTGGGAGAGTCTAGAAACACCTCCAGCCCTGGGACCCCTGCCCTTCCCATCATGGCTCTCTGCCCTCTGGCCACACCCAGACTTCTCTTCTGCGTCTTGCTCTCTCTCAGCTCTGGATCTGGACTCAAGCTATTTCGCTTGCCTTACAACCTCCTCCCACTGCCCCTGTCCTGGGTGGTTCCGTGGAGTCATCTCCTCTGGAAGCCTTCCTGTTTGGTGTCCCCCCATTTCGCCCTTGCTTGCCACCCTAGCACAACGCAGCTGTATCATCTTGCGTCGTGGGGCTCGGTTCCTCTGTACAGGGCACCTGTCCTCATGGGGTCTGCCTCCTCACAGGGGCCCTTGGAGGCCTCAGCCGTCTGGCACCATGGAAGCCTGAGCCAAGGGACAGTTAACGTCGCCGGCCTTACCTGGGACACGGCACCCAGGGCGTTCTTCGCTGAGCGAGCCGCAGCCTGGAGGCCCTGCTGGCCTGGCTCGGGGCTTTCCAGGCGTTTCCAGGAGGGCCCTGCCCCGAGGTTGAGGCTGACTGCTCTCAGGGGCAGCCTCCTCTGGAACTGTCTGCACAGGGAGCCCAGGGCCCCCCCGGAGGTCTCCGGATGGCAGGCGGCAGGCGGCAGCACCTCCTTCTCCTCCAGCAGTTGCTGGTCCTGGAGCGATCTCGGGCGCACCGAGGCCCCCACGCCCGGCCACTTGGAAGCCATCTGCGTGGTCAAGAGTCTGCTCAGCCCACCAGAGCCTGGGGAGGAGGCCAAAAGGCAGGTCAGCAAGGCATCCTCCTTACCTCCCCAGGCCCCACGGACACACAGGCAGCCCGGGCTGGGCGTGAGGCCCTTGGCAGCCGTGGGTGCGGGAAGGAGGGTGCTTCCTGGAAGAGGGGTCAGCGAGGCCCAGAAGAGCGCGGAGGGTGGACGCGCCGCTCCGCGTGTCTGAGACAGCTGTGTCTTTCCATCAGCCTCCTTTCGGCTCTCTGACTCCAGCGGGGAGGCAGGCAGAGTCCGGACCGGCCCCCGCCGAGCCTCCCTGCGCCGGGGCCCCATCGGCGTCCCTTTCGCGAACGCGCCGGGGCCCAGGGCGCTCCCGCCGCGCGGACCCCCCGATCCGCATCCTGCAATCCCCGGCCGGCCCCGCATGCGCGCCCGTCCTGACCGGAGCCCGCCGCCTCGTCCGGGTCCCGTGGGAACGGAAGGGCCACCGAGTCCCCGGGATGCACTCACCCAATAGCCCCCGGCGCCGACCGCACGCCCCGCACGGCCGCTCCGCGCCCACCCGGCCGGTTTGAAACTCCGCGCGGACCCGCCCCCTGGCCCGTCCTCGTAGCTGATTGGCTCTGTCCCCGCAGCGCGGCCGCGCCCGGGATCCGATTGGCCCCCGCCCTCGCGGCGGGAATGCTGCCCTCCGATTGGCTGGCCGCCCCATTCATGCCTCGGGCCGCGCCGCGGGGTGCGCGCAGCGGGGCACCGCCCCTTTGTCCCCGCGGCCCGGTGCCCCGCCGAGGGGGGTGTCTCCCCGGTGCGCTCGCGACGTGCCCGCTCCCGCGCGGGTGTGTCTCTGTCTCCAATCCTTGCTCTGTGTTCCCCAAACGCGCCCCCGCACTCTGGACCCTGGAAGATCCTGGAGGAGGGGACAGACTAGCATACATCGGCCCCGCCCTCCTCCAGTGCAGCCCCCCAGTCCAGGGCGAGGCCTCCCCCCTCCACCCAGCGTCCGAACACGCTCCAAACCTCCCCCTTTAGAAAGACCCTCCCTCTTCCCGCGACCCCAGGGCAACCCTGCCGCGCCCCCCCCAGGCTTCCTCGCTGCGCACCTCACAGGGCCCTCGGGCCCCTCACCGCGTAGCTCTGTCCCGGGCCGCGACAGGGCTCCCCACCGGGCAGCGCGCCCCCTCTCCGGCGGGATCTCCATCGGCGCTCCCCCCTCACCGTAGCTCTTTGCCGGCCGCTACAGAGCTGGGTGACCCCAGGCCTCGGGCTCAGGGACACGCCTCCCCGCAGCGGGGGGTGGGGGGAGGGGCGCCCCACGTGCTGGTGTGCCCTTCCGTAATGACCTCACTGGGAAGCCTAGGAGTAGACCCGGAAACTGAGGTCTGGAGAGGTTAGGTGGGCCCCAGTGGCCCTCAGTTAGGGGACGGCAGGATTCCCCGAGTGGGGAAGGAGGGTCCCTGCACCCACTCCTCAGATCTAGCGTGTGCGGAGAGACTGGTGTCAATGAACCAAAGAACCAATAATCAAAGAAAATGATGACACAATGAAGGCGCCCACGTGGCCCGTTTACACCTCAGGCCTACAGAATGAGCTAAGGGAGCAGAGAATGTGTTTGGCGGGGGGCTCCTGGCACAGAGGGGCCAGCACCCACGGTCCGACACCAGCTCACAGATGTGTGAGACAGAAGTTTCCGGAAACAATATTGGACTCTGAGCGGTGTGCTGTGGTTCTCTGCTGTTTCATCGCCTGACCAGGGCTCTGCCTGTCCCCGCCTTCCACGCGCTGAGGCTGACTTGTGGCCTGTTGGGGACAGGCGTGCGGGTTGTAATTAGGGGATTCGATTCCCGCCTTTCACCAGTGACACGGGGCGGGGCGGGGGGAAGCGAGTGCCCGTTGTTCTTCTGAAAACTAACCTGCGGCTCAGTGAAAGGGAAACAGTCTCAGCTCCGAGGGGCTGGTCCCCGCTGTGTCCGGCCATCCCAGGACAGCCTGCATTTGTCCATCCTGAGCGCGGGCCCGCGAAGGAGGTGCTATTTTTACTCCCATTTTTTTTTTTTTTAAAGATTCTACCTGTTTATTTGACAGAGAGAGAGACACAGCGAGAGCAGGAACACAAGCAGGGGGAGTGGGAGAGGGAGAAGCAGGCCTCCCGCGGAGCAGGGAGCCCGATGCGGGGCTCGATCCCAGGACCCTGGGATCATGACCTGAGCCGAAGGCAGACGCTTAACGACTGAGCCACCCAGGCACCCTCCTCCCATTTTGGATGACAGTGCAGATTTGGAAGGCGAAGTGTCTGGCCCAACACGGAGGGCAGTCAGAGCTGGAACAGAAACCCTTGCGTGTCCGGCTTCCTACCCCGAATACTTAACCGTCGTGGATCGCGGGACCTCCTCAGGGTCAGGCGTGAATGGAGGGATGCTTGACGGGGGCCCCCTGCCCACGTGGGGCTTTGCACCCCCTCCCTCAGAATGTCCCCGGCAGCCCAGGTGAAGGGACAGCAGTGTCCGTGGCAACGAGGGGAGGAAAAAACGTTTTCTTCTGAATGAGAGGCTCTCCCTTGCAGGAGCGGGTCGAGGCGATGAGGCCAGGCGGGGGAAAGAGAGGAGGTGTGCTGAGGGGGGCAGGCTCCGAGTGGAGGGGTTGCAGAAGGGGACAGGGGCTCCTGCGGAAGGAGACAAAGCAGTCCCAGGCGGAGGCTTTCTGGGGTCCAGCCCCACCCGTGCCTCTGTTGGACAGAAGGGTGGAGGAGGAGAGGACCAGGGCCCCAGCCCTGCCCTGTCCTGGGGGCGGGGGCTCCCCGTCCAGCAGCAGAATTTCCTGCCAGTTCCCGTGACCTCCTAGAATGGTGGGTGCTGGAAGATGCAGAGAGTACAAGGTGCCAGATGCCACGAGTGAGGGGTGCTCGGGGTGAGGAAGGGGAGGAAGGGGCGTGGGGAACCCCACGTGAGCGGGGGCAGGGCAGGCTCCCCCTGGCATGCGGGGTTTTAGGGGAGGAGCTCGGGGACAAAGTGCAGGGTGGAGGGGGGTGGCCAGGCTTTCCAACACAGGGGCCTGCCAAGGTCAGGGTAGGGGCCGGAGCACTACCCGCTTCTAGGACGGAGGGAGGACTGAGGGCCCGCCCCCTGGGGCAGGCAGCCTGGGGCAGGGGTTGATCCACTGCAGGGAAGGCGCCTGGGGCTTATCCTGAGACGCAGAAAGCCTTTGATGGGTTTTAAGAGGGGTGGGGTTATTAGACTTGCCTCTCCCTGAAGTCCCTTAAGAGGTTAGTCTGGGGGCCCGTCTGGAGGCTGTGGCCTGAGCACCCCCTTCTTCTGGCCTCTGTTTCAACAAGCACGCTCCAACCCCACTCCCAGCCCTGCCCACCGGGGGCCCAGATCTATCCGATCTAGAGCACAGTGATCAGTCAACTTTCTCTTCCACCGCATATTACATCAAGAGATCAATTGTCGGGCGCCTGGGTGGCTCAGTCGTTAAGCGACTGCCTTCGGCTCAGGTCATGATCCCAGGGTCCTGGGATCGAGTCCCATGTCGGGCTCCCTGCTCAGCGGGGAGCCTGCTTCTCCCTCTGACCCTCCCCCCCCTCATGTGCTTTCTGTCTCTCTCATTCTCTCTCTCTCAAATAAAAAAAAAAAATCAATTGTCACTGGTGGGAAAGTCTAGCGTGATGAACACGTACAAAGCCAACAGCCACACCACCACCGTGGGGGGAGGGGACGGCACTGCCAGGACCCCAGAAGCAGCCCCCACCCCCACCCCCTGGGTCCTGCCTCCGTCTCTCCCTCCCCCCGACTTTCATGGTAATCACTTTTACTTCCCTTTGTGCTTTCAGCATCTGAGCTTCCGTCTTGCTTCCTATGCATTCGGACCCCTCTAGGTTGCTGTGCGGCTAGGGAAGGGCAGGACAGAGGAGAAGGGCCCCAGGACCCCGGCACCCGTACCCCCTGCCCACAGGGAGGGCTGGATCTGGGCCCTTGGGGGTCCGAGCACCCCGGGAGGGGGCCTGGAGGGGCCTGATCCAGCTGGCCCGGTCTGGGTTTGGGCGCTCAGGCTTGGCCTCCTCTACGCCAGTGGTTCTTCGTGGGAGAATTTGGGGGGCTGGGTTTGGGGTCCCACTTGCTGCTCCAGGGGAAGGAGGCAGGGGAGATGGATCTTCACGTTTCGGTGGGGACGATGGAGTTAAGGAGGGTGGAAATGAGGTCAGGAAATGAGAGGTGCGGTCAGCGGCTGTATGTGGCTCCGACAATCCAGTGTTCCGTCCCTCTCTGCAGCGCCCCTGTCCCTTCCCGCTGTCAGTCTGGGGTCACCCAGAGGACGGACCCTGGGAGCCCGAGCACAGCCTCTTCCACTGGCCACAAGGTGGCGCCAGACACCACACCTTCAGGCCACCTGTCCCCGAGGCCAGAAAGGGGGTCCCAGGTGCAGGGACTGAGCTCTCCCGGGGACCCAGGGCACGGGGATGAGGGATGAGACCCTCCAACGGGGGAGGGAGAGCCCCGCTCCCCACCTCCAGGACCTGGAGTGGGGGCTGGAGAGGGGCTGGGGGCGCCCTTAACTTTTCCCAAATCTGCCCCTTCTCTTACTCAATTTAGAGCCTCCCAGGCCAGAAACCTGGTTTCCCCACCCCCCCAGGATCACATCCTCTCCTGCACAGAGTCTGGGGGAGAGAAGGAGGAAAGAAGAAAGAGGGAAGGCAGGGACCATGGAGACCACAGGGCCTTGGCACGGACACCAGGTCCTGTTCCCCTTGGCTGGCCTGAGGCCTCTGTCCTGCCACAGCCTCTCCCCGTCTTCTCTGAGAACACTCCGGCTGCTTTCTTCTTGGGATGGGGGAAAACCAAAGGTGGGTGTCAGGTGGGGGTCTCACGTCCCCCATGCTAGGAGCAGGTGCTAGGCGCCGGCCGGCTTACTCCTGGCTCACACCCGCCCCCGGGGCAGGGCCAATCCCAGGGTCTGGGTGTCTTCCTCCCGGGAGATTATCTCAGCCTAAGCCCGACACCTCC